CAACAAGTAAATGTTTGGGACCGACGCTGCTATTACATATAAAGGTTTGGGACTTCGGCTGCAAAAATTAAAGGTTTGGGTGTAATCTGCAACAAAATGAAAGGTTTGGGACCGCGACCGCAATTTTCCCATTTTATAATGATTTCATCACTGGTATGTTGCATAATTTGACTTGACATCCGTCAAGTGGATCGAGTGCAGTAAATGAATCTACGTAAGAATCTTACTCAACTATTCACATTTTTTTGCCTTTTTCCTTGATTTGAAAATGTTCTTTAGTTTACGTAATCCGGGTTTGATTTTCATACTCCGGATTATAATATTGTTCTATTGGAGAATGGTTCACTACATTTTGAGAAACTAATCGTTGTTAAGAAATTGTATGTCTCGTAAAAAAGAGAAATCCAAACAAAAAACAACTCGCCAACTGAACTGCTGCTAGAAAATTAATCAAGAAAACATATAGCTGCAACTATAGCCTTCCACTTGTTTAATGCAGGGATACTGTTTGATTTAGCATTCGAATAATTTTGGAAGTTCATTTCGATACAACACTATATTCTTCGAGGAGCCTTTCGATAGTCCTCCTTGATGTAACTTTATCTATTTCAAACACTCTCATCTCATCTCTTAAACCTGCAAAGCCAAAGGAAAATATTAATCATACAACAACAATTCGACAGATATTTCTAAAGAAAACAGCAAATCAGTCGATACATTTTGTACATTTCAAGGCATAAATTCTAGACTTCTAGTACTTGTATTTTACTTTAGATTGCCTAAACTAATAAGTCCAGCCATAGTTACTTTCTTTACTGAACTGCCACTAGGTCAAATGGCACCTCAGGTAAAATATTCAATTTCTTAGTATTTCATAACGTACTCTTATAGCTCAGTACCTTGAAGCGAAATCCTGAATTAACTAAGTCAAACAATTAAAGCTTCCCTTCATATTTTATGACTACTCTTTTATCTTTGCAGTTCAACAGGACAGTGAATTTACCATAAAACTGACTTTACTACGATCAAATCCAAGAGCATGGAGATGAGGCCAAAATCAGATAAT